AGAAAACCTTGGACAAGTAAAAGCAATATTCCAAGTAGAAGATATTAAAGCAACTCTTAAGATATCAATTCTTGAAGAAGACCAAGCTTATATACTCTTATCAAAAGTAGATCAAGATAGACTAAATATTTCAAAAGATAGAAACAATAAAATAGCTCAAATAAATGGGAAATCAATATCATATCAAGATATTTCCCTGAACCAATCACAAGAGTTATCAGGATTAAATCTTAACTCTGTTCCAGGAAACCCCTCTTGCATCTTGAACAAAGAAGAGACTACCCCGGTATCATGTGACATTAATACAGATACACCCTAACTGTCGCACCTAGTTACTTTGCTTAAAAGGCTAGAGATACACCCCCCAAAAGCAAGAAAAAACCCTGTGATGGACCCAACGTGGTCTGAAAAAAAACTCCTAGCCACTAACAAGTTACACACATTGGCTGCATCTCTTGCTAATGCTCAAGATAGCACCCAACATGGCGAACAAAATAAATTCGAGCTCAGACTAGACAAAAAATCTAATAAATCAACTAAAAAAAAACAAAAGAAAGCCTTCAAATATACTAAAATTAGTAAGAAAATATTAAAAGAATATTTATTTGCTATTAAAAAGTATCTACAATAAAAACCTAAAGAGAATCCTACAAATCTGAAAACTGTCTCCAATTCGGCCTCAACCTTGCTCGTCTCCACTTATACCTCTCGAGAACATATCAAGCAATTGATTATTACAAATTTGTTAATGACTTTAATCTACGTTCTAAAACCTTCAAAATTACCCCCCATGCCGTCTCTTTAAACAAAGATGAAAAATATCTCACTATCAAATCTGATAACAAATTTAATATTCAACTACTTTTTAACCTTCTTGCAAAGATTTTTAACACACAATTCTGTATCTCTTCACTTAAAAACTTATTAGACCACTTTAATGACTGGTTTGAAGAATTCTTTCCTATCTATAACTGACAATTTAAAACTCCACTTGACAAAGACAACACACAAACTGCTCTCAAATCTCAAATCTGTAAACACTTTATTTCTCAATTATGAAACATTCTTCCTCCTGTACTTGAAAATTTCTTAAGACTTCACTCTTACAAAGATCAATTTGATGAATGCTTTAGACATATAACTTTCATATTCTCACTTGCAAACATACAAACTGCAAATATATTCTTGATCATAGACATGAAATACCCAGAATGTTCAAAGATGTTTTAGCTAAATCCTATGAAGAATACCCTAAAGAAACTGACTTACCACAAATTACTTTTGACTATACTATTTTCGATTCTAATGCTGAACATGAAGCTACCTTTTCTAAGCCAATTCCAACAAGTCTTCTTGACAAACTCGCAGACAGTGAAGAAAATGAATA